ATAACATTCACCGATTATCGAAAACTAATAAAAATAGCTACTCCCATAGTGTACAAGTCCTGTGTTCCACCTGAATGAAAAAGAATATATACGACAGCTTTTCCTTATCTGCAATTTCGTCTGTAAATATTTTAACGTTCATCGAGACGTATAGGTGACGTCGCCAATTCTGACACGCGTCTTTATCCTCGGAAATGGTCAAAGATGCCAATGACAACCACATTTGGCGTCAACGTGTCTGTAAACCGCACTAATTGTTGCTACACTCGTTTCAATCGATAATCATGATCGTAAAGCTTTCAAGATCCATCTCGTTAAAATTCGAGGATCGTTACGATCGTGAATCAACCGCAAGTTACATGATCTCGATATTTTTGGTTTCGGAGTAGAGCGAAACACGTAGTTTTCAACGGCTTCGTAAATGAAGCGACCGAAATTTACCGACCTTCCGTCGAAATTTAGACGGCCCAAAAATCGCTGGACAGCCACGAAGCTGTTTAACGAGACGTCCTGTAGAATCTGCCAAAGTAGTTGTGGTTGTCGAAAACGGACCGCCATCGTGTACCGTTCTCCTGTTACGCAACTTCGATATCTGCCTTGCGAATTCCAAGTATTCGATGTTTCTTACATTTCGAAAAATTATCCTCGTATTTCATTCTTTGGTGCATGTCGAATTTCGCTCTCATCGAGGAATTTTAATTTGTCTTTTCTTTCTTTTCTTCTTTCTTTTAATAAATTTGTGACTGAATTTGATAATGGAGAATCAAATTTCGAAAGGCAATATTTTTTATTAAATATTAATAATGGAAATATTACCAATATTAATGATATTAATTTTACCACTATTAATTTACTTCCTTTTCTTTCGAAAAGCTCGGTATAATTATTTAAATTTTAATAATCGGGATATTTCCAATATTATAATATATTAATATCTCCACTATTAATATATTATAATATTTTTGATTATTCATATTAAAATTACTGGTGTTATCAATTATTAATAATACCAAGTGTTGTTATTATTAATATCGTTGTTATTTAACGTTAATATTAATACACTTAACGATAGAGAAAATGATCTAATTAATATTCTATTATATAGACTGTGATTCCAGGTTTATTAACGGAATTCAAAGAAAGGATCGTTAAGATCGTTATTGTTCCTACATTCCTCGGTAAAAACTCGTTTAGAGGATTAATTAACGCGAACGCAACCGTGTATTAAATGGCACGTGTTCGTATTTGCGATATCTCGCGGTTTCTTCGCGGCTATCTCGTAATGAAATACACGGTCCGATATGTCTACAGCGTTGGTCACATTTCCGATGTACTCTACTTGGATGCTGTCGATAGCTATGATCTCTGTTAGACGACGAAGGCGCAGTTGGCAAAGGTATTGTGGCGGAACCGTTTCGAACGCCGTAAAGCGTATTTAAATTGATAGTCGTGACTATAACCGTGACTCGTGGAAAATTACGTTACTTTCTTTACGGTTGTTCCACCCGCGTGACCGACGGAAGAAATGCGCAACCACTTGAAAATTCTTACATCAAGTTTGTTGCATGATCCTCGCTTTGGCCAGCTGGTTTCTCACGTTCGTATCGGAGAAAAAAATTCACGCAAGAGCACTGCGGAACGATTTCGGGATAGAAGATGATTGCATCGTATGATCGTATATACAGGCTGTTTCAGAATAAGTGTGACACTAAAAACGACACTTGCCCCAGAGAAATTTGTCTGCTCTCCACTTTGTCTTTCGTATTTGTATCCGTTTCATCAAGATCAGGATTATTATCACTATATTTTCGTTACACGATCGTATACTTTGATAAAATAATATAGTAAGTGCAAATGTATTATATAAAATCATTGTATATTATATATACAATTTTTGGTAAATAATAATCTTGATACAAAAGTTGAAAGTACAATGGATTTTGTTGGGAAATATTTGGCATGAATATGTTTCGAATGACAATTACTTGGACATGCTTTTTCGTGTACAAATAAATTTCTGCTAGTGAAAGATTTATCCTGATCTCCTTAATTATTACTGCTAACCCCTGTGTGTTTAGCATACATAAAATAAACCTGACATTCGTAAATTGTACGTAGTATAATAAATATATGAAACGATACATCTAAAAAATAAATAAAATATATATAAAGCCGAATATACAATATATAAAACGGCATATCTAAAGGAGCGAATTTTTTAATCTAAGAGAAACAAGCATTTCATCCAAAAAACAATATTTTCATAAGAAAAACGAACAAGCGAGACAGACCATCCTATTTTATCCTATCCAAGGCATAATGACCTCCAATAAATAATAAGTACAGTATAAAATCTATACTGAAAGGCAATATTAACAACGAACTCTATGACTTGCTTCAACTCATTAAAAACTCCGAGATTACTGATCTCTGCTAATCTAACTTGATGTCTCTGTCCAATAATAATAACCAAATAGCTGATACAATATTAAAATAATAGAAAAAAAAAGTGGAAGAAACACTACAAAACAGTCAGAACTTGAGCACGAGCCCTATCCATTCCATCGAAATAGGAATCTTCAACTTAAAATGTCACGGAAGCCCGAATCTATTTCACGAGCAACGAAGAGGGCCCAGAATCGTGGGCGTAGTCGAAAGAAGCCGGCATTAATGCTCCTATTGCGGTGATTAAACCGACGAAAATATTCCGAGAGCAAGGCAACCAGCCTTATTTCGGCCAAATGATTCATGAGGAACGACACACGCGACCCTTCCTTCCTCCGTGTCTTTCTTTTCTTCTTCCACCAAAACAGGGTCCTTAATTCCTCCTCCCTTTCTCTTTCCCGACACCCAAAATTCTATTCTGGCAAGTTTCCGATTTTTGCATGGGATCGCGCAACAAACGTAAACAAGAGAGCAACCGGGTATTTTCATCCCCATATTGGATCGCCTCCAACCTTGTATTCCGCGGAATTCGCGTAAACTGGCCATTTCACCGTGCCGCGCTCCATCAATTCTCGTCGCTTAGAATAACGACGCAAATTTCTCGGCTGCCATCGAAGTAAATCGTATCGGATGCTCGGAACGTTTCACGGAATCCAAAATGTTGCGACGTTCGCGATTTCATAGACACATCCCGCACCCTTTGAACTAACCCTCGTTGACGTTTTGTGGCGGAGCTGTCAACTCGAGTCCCGTCTTAAGCATGCGTCAGCGGTCGCATTTGGAGTTCGGGGTTCCATATCTTTGTCTCGAAAGGAGATTATATATTTTATGAGAAATAAGAATGTGGTCTTTTTGGAGAGGAGGGTGAGGGGTTAAGTGTTTGTGACAGGATTTTTAGGAAAATTAACAGAGAAGGTCTTGTGTAGACGTTTATGATCGATTATCTGGTAACAGCATTGGCTCGATCAATGCTCAATGATTATTAGCTTCAAGGTAATGGCTAGTCGGGATCTCGTGACAGATGCGGTTATCAACTTCCCGTCATTTTTTGCTCAACCTTGGAACCTCTGTTATCTGTTTTTCAGTGCCCAGTCGACTTAGGTTTCTCTTACTTCTGTGCCTGATCCAAATCCGACGAGTTAAGCCTCGTTCACGCTTGTTAAAGTTACTCGACTTCGAATCGAATTAAATCTATTGTTGCTTTGACTTTTTAAATTTCGAGATAGGGTAAGATTTCGTGCGAGTTCACATGCTTCGGAGTGCGACTCGAATAACATGAACTTGGAAGATACTTGTGAAAATTGAGAATCGAGAAATTTAACCCCGAATGGTGATTTTTAATTTTCGATCAGTCGCTAATAAACAAATTCCCGAAAATTCCAACTCTCTCGACACCATTTTGGATAACTACCAACTTCACTGAACCCAAACTTGCATTAGTAAAATTCAAGCATCTTGAACTCGAACAACAGGAACAACTATCGTGATCGAGGCTTTAAACACGGAAATATACACGTTAGAACGAAACAATAGAAGCATTTGTCAATCGATACACAGTACTACGACCACCGATCTAAGAAACCTAATACAAAAATGACATCTATATACATGCACGTAAATGTATATCGTACTTTCCGCTCTCGAAAGGGTAAGAAATTTTATCTTCCGACAATTGACCTTCCTCTATCTCTAATTAGTTAACCATCATCGTCGTCCCCGAGGTAACAAGCTCTCGGAGAGGACCCCTGTGAAAAGTGTGTCTGGCCGAATTTAGAAGCCGCATTTTTTCCTCCTTTCCCTCTCTGTTCGTCTTCAGATGGGAGAAGAGCACAGCCAGAACGCAATCCACGGGCCAATGACAGATATGCCGTGTCGAGCGAGTCAGATGGTCGACTGGCTGCGATTTTGACAGCTGCCGCGGCAGCGTCTCAGTTTTTACGAGATCCTCGGCCACCCTCTTCGGGGAGGGCGACCCTTACGTAGAGGGAAGCGTTTATACGAGGCGCATGCAGGAATTTTCGAAACGTTGGCGTCGAACAACGTGGAAAACTATCTTTAGAGCTCGCGCAGGGGCGGTGCTCTCGCTCGAAAATAGAATATTCGTCGAGGGGATATAGCCTCTGCTAAGAAATCCGACGGTTCCACAAATTTACTTTATACTACACTATTCATCGTTTCTCTCGAATCACCGAGTAAGATACAGAAAATATCAATTTCAACTAGAAATAAGAAAATTAATATTTTTAATATCGTCAAGTTCAACGCAGACGTTCGAATTAGAAATTTCTTATTTTTTGGGAGCGAGACGTTAACGAAACAGTTAGTGATCTGTCAATGAGTAACCTCGTCAAACTAAATGGCGATCTTGGAAGTGTTTGATTTACAGTTACTCGATTGTTAATCGGAAAGGTATTAACGACCGATTTGCACGATTTTCTATACCCTTTTCCACGTTATGTTAGGAATCTCGAGTTTTGCCCACTTGAACGACTAGACAGCGTTCGAAAGAGGACGGATTTTTCGTCAACTTGAAAAAGAATGATCACCGAACTGACCTCTCTGCTGACTGGTGATTTGCTGCCGAGTGACCTGTCGTTCGGTCCTCTGTTGCATGTATTGCTGCTGTTGTTGTTGCGTGATCGTTTGCTGCTGCTGTTGTTGCTGCATCACTGACTGCTGCTGCTGCTGCTGCTGCTGCTGTTGCTGCTGCTGCTGCTGCTGAGACGTTTGTCGCTTCATCTTGGATCAATCGAAGGAATCCAAGTCGTTTGAAAGATCGTTTTCGATGCTTCGTTTGGTCGATCACAAAAACGTAACGCGAGGCGTACTTTCTCTCGTCTTCCTTGGTGTCTCTTATCCCTTTCAGCCGAGTGTACTTACGAAGAACGTCGTACAAACTTCCCTCACTGGGCACTCAACAACAACAAAAAAAGGCAAGAGGAACAGGCGAAAATTAAAAACCGCGAAAAAGAAAAGAAAGAGAACGGAGCAAAAAGGCAATATACAGGGATCCTCGTGTCACTCGCGATTAATCGATTCGTAAATAATTAATTAAATCCTCTTCCAGCGGTATATCTTTCTCTATCTCTCATTTAGCCGCTAATAAATCGTCTTCTTCTTCTTCTTCTTCTTCTTTATTATTCTTCCTTTACAATTATTCCACGTATTTCACGCTAATTCTTCTAGCTTATTCTCGTATATGCTTTCGTACGTGCTGCCTGAGGCCGCGGCTCACTCCAGTCGGCAGAAGTCAAGTCATCATCAAAAAGTCTTGTCCCCGAGACTCTTTAAACCAAGACGTCGGTCGAATGCGAATTGCCGGCTGATGCCGCCGCGGAAAACGAACACGGCCTTCCACGAGGACGTGGCACGAGTTGGTGGGGGTTGGCCACTCGCAGTAGGGAAAAGGGGTGGGGACGCCGAGCGTCTCGACGCCGGCGACGATGCACGAGCGGAACGAGGACGGAACGACCGAAATTTTTCACACCCTCGTCACGCGAACCGGCGAGATTAATCGTCCGGGTGGAAATAGTCTCTCCCTTTTCACCTATCTTCCTTTCTCCTTTCTCCCTCTACTTCCTTCCTTCGTCCAATTTTTCTCTTTATTTTTCTATTTCCTTTCCTATCTTCTTCCTTTAATTCTTAATATCTATTTTGACTGAGAATTAATCCTCTGCGATTCTGTGTCGAGATGCAATCGAAATTCACAATTTTGATGAGTTTAATTAATCAATTAAATTAATTTATACTAAGTTGTAATTAAAATATAAGTTAATTTAATTGGACACAAATGTGTGAACGTAAATACCTCATCAAATAAAAAAAAATAAATAAATAAATTGTAGATCCCCAAAAAAAATTCTCGATTATGAACCAGTTGGGTACAATTTCCTGATGACTTATGGATGTAAGAATTAAGGAGCGAAGATTTTTCGCATGTTTAGGAGAAAGAGTGATAGGTTTAATTTTCTTATTGAGGGAAATGAAAAAATGTAGAAGACTTTTGAGGTGGTATGAAACACGTCACGGACAACGATGTTACTCATATTGTCGGGATTACATTTCTCGGATTCTGTGTGACTTTCTGCGTTTATTTCGGGCAAATGAACACCTTCGCTGATGATGCGTGGTATATATTTTTCTGGCACATTCGTTCTCGTGTTTGGTGTTAAGTGTAGCTGCACTGCAGCGGGTAGATCGCGAGATTGGGACGATTTATGGTAACGGGTATGGATGCCCGAATGCTTTCCAGGGAAGATCGGCGTCGAGAAAAGAAAGCGACGTTTATGACGATGGCTCGCGATAGAACTAGATGGTTTTTGGGGCACGTGGAATTCGAGAATGCATTTTGTAGAAGCAGCTGTCTGTATGGAATTATTAAAATACTGACAGGCTTTAAAATACGCGAGTCATTCACAGGTCAAGGTAATCAACTCCATTTTTCGAATATTTAAAAATTTCGGGGTCAAAGTGCTTGATCGATGCTTAATTTCTTATATTTAAAATAAACTTACATCCTCTGTTTCGTGCAGTTAATCGACTTGGCAAATGAGCGAGCTACGTTGTATGAAATATGTAGAAATAGCGTGTTTAGTTTTTGTTTCGTAATTAGCCTAGTTTTAAACGGAATTAATTGTCGCGTAAGCGAGACTTTTGCGTGAAATTTCACGCGTGTACGAATGAAGTTTGCATAATAATTTTGTTAAGACCATTAGGGACTGAGTAAGCAGTACGAACTCATGTATGGTTGAATTTCTTGCTCAATATTGAAAATTTATTCATTAGGGACTTAGACTTTCACGACTTGCGGTCCTTCTAATCGTGAAACCTGTACTGTGCTAACAGTATCGCGTTGTCCTAGTTACTTGGAACAAACGTCGCTTAAAACTTACATGTCGAATTGAGAAATTCATGCCTGACGATACAATACTACCTTAAAATTATGCCACGATTTATATTTAAATTGAATTGGAAATGATCGATTAAATCGATCATTCGGATAGGTTTCAGTCAGTCGATTTTATTTCTTGTTCGTTATCCTATAAGCTAGCTTTCGTTTCTGGTAATTTTATAAGCACGTATATATTATTTACGATTATTGGTTATATACGGTTTAGAAAAAACTAAGCAGACGACCTCTTAGTAACTATTACTCTATTACTATTAATAATCATTTACTCTTCACCTTTGATTCATCAATGAATAATAAACATTAGGAGAGCATTTCAAGAAATAATTCACCTTGAAACGCTAAAAGAAATGACTCAATAACAATAGTCAACGATGTCTTACGTATTTTCCTAAATATCTTATTAAATTATAGCAACTCACACACTACAAACTAATTCGTCTGTCCTAAAAACCATTTATGAGTCACATCCAAACTGAGTATTTTGATTTATTAATTGTCCAACCAAAAGCAAGTTTTATATTACCCAAGGACACTCAAAAATAGTCCCTTGTGTTTCAATTTAATTAGACAAAGGTATGTTAATATAGATACCTCGTTGATTAGAAAAATATGAAAATAAAGTTAAATTTTCTGTAGTGTTTCAAAGTACATAGGTTCTTGACTATGAATCACGTAGAATAAAGCATCGAATACGACTTGGACCGCAAAGTGTTAAACAATCTACTCCTTATAATATCTGAAAGGGTATCGTGTCACCTCACAACTTAATACAATACAACACATCCAATATATGTATCCCGCAAACATTGAACAACCTTCGTCCGATCCCCTAATCAACTAATCCCAAAACCACCCAAATTAACATCTACTAATCCTACCACGGCACATGACTGTTTTAAACTCTTGATTAAAATTTCCATATTCAACCTTTTGGTTATTCAATATCTTCACTTATTTTTCGCATTTTCTTTAAACTTTCATTTCTTCATCCACTTGTCAATTAACCCATCGTGATAGGTTTAGTATTAGGCTAGGTGATAGGTTTAGTATTAGACTTCGCCAATTAGGGGACCGTAATCCAAAATGTGAATTCGCATTTGGACCAACTAATTTCACCGTTAAAATTCTACTTTAGAAATTGATCTTACAAACGATATTATTAAGATGTACCGAGTGCAATGAGAAAGCAACTGTTCCTCTTGGAAGACCGTAATCCGAAACACAAATTCGCAATCAGACCAACCAACTTCACCGTCCAAATTTTACCTTCTAAACCGATACAATACACGATACTATCCAAGTCGACCGAGTGCGATGCGAAAACAACTGTAATTCAAAAGGTAAATTCGCAATCGAAGCAACCAACTTCACCGGCCCAAGTTCTCTCTTATCAAGCGATTTGATACACGATATTGCAGAAATGAATCTCATGCGATGGACGATAATCCCGAAAGGAGAAACCCGCGGCTCGAGCGGAGCCACAAGTCGACGCGCGGCTCACGCAGCGTTCTCGCGCTCACTGACAGACGCCCACGCATCTACGCACTTCTCGCACCCCTCCGCTCGTCCCGCGCCCCTTTCTCCACAGCGTACTCTCCTTCCTCCACCACACGTAAAGTCGTATACGAGTGCGTGCACCCGTCGTGCTCCTCTCTTTCATCCCACTCTCCTCCTCTCTTACTACTCTCCTTAACCTCTCTTTTCTTCTTATTATTCTTCTTCGCTTTCTTTCTTCGTCTGTGTTTCATTTTTTTTTCTTTTGCTTAATTTTCCTGCTCCATCTTCATCGCACGACGTCGACCGATAATGCTCCATCTCACTCTCCAATGCTTAAGAGTGTTGGCGTGCTGCTCTTACCGGCGACACGGCGTCGTTCTGAACACCGTTGCTGCTCGAATCTGGGCCAGTTGCGAGTCCGATGGATAGACGGAATTTTTCGTAGCTCTTCGATGTGATGTACGTCAATTAGAAAATTTAGAAATAATGATGCCTCGGGCGAAAGTACCAAAAGTTTTGGAAAATTCTCTGGAATATCTAGAATTCCGGAAACTTTGCAGAAATATCATGTGTATTTAAAAGTTTCCGAAAATGTCACGCATTTTGGAAAATTTGCGAGAATATTTCAAAAATTCCTGAAAATAATCTAAAAATTTGAAAAATTTGCCAAAATATCTCAAATATGTCTATGATATTTCCGGCAATCCTGAATATTTTCTGAATCCCGATTAATCCCGAAAAATTCCTATCCCATCTCTATCCTAGCTTTTCCGGATCTCACCTCTAGTTGTATAGTAATCATAGTAATTAGAAGTGGTAAACTTGCTATTCTTACATGCAGCAGATTATCATCAAGAACGCCGTTGCTATTCGAATCTGGGCCAGTTGTAATTCCGATGAATCACATGAAATATACATGGTTTTCTTCATAGTAATTAGAGATTAAGAAGCTTGTTGGGGTGGATTTAAGAGTTGCTGAGCTTGGAATGATGGAGAACTTTGGAGTGGTCGGTGTAGTTATGATCGACGAGGCAGTTAGGAAGTAGTTAGAAAAGTAACGTGTGGGATATGTCTTTAATGCGTTTATTGTGTTACGAGAAACCCATTGTTTCCTTAATGCTCGCCGCGAGCTGTCTTGATCTCGGCTGATGAATTGAGCGACGAACGAAGTGGTTTGTTCTTTGATCGTTTTCCGTGTTAGTCTTGGATAGTAATTATGATCCCGTGTCGATTTATGTCTTTCTAGATAGAGTCTTTAGATAATTTTTATTTTCGTTTGCTCGGTACAGGTTGACCCCGACTAATAATCAAGGATCCAAAAATTTGTTATATCTCACAGAATAAATCATCGAAATCATAAAATAAACGGTTCATCTACGAGTTCGCCAAAATTTGCGGTTTCTGAAATCGCGCTATAAATTTTAGAAAGTAAAGATTTTTCTACATAATCTCCATGGGACTTGAAGATCTATCGAAAAATCGAGTCATCTGTAACTAAACCTACCATGACCTAAATGGCCGTCTTTAAAACTTTCGTTCAAAATACCACGTTCAACGTGTCTCCCATTATTCCATTTTCTAATTCCACTACTTTTCCATTCACCGGTTATTTGACCGTGGTAGGTTTAACGTTAAAATTCGTTCCCGGATCGTTCTACTCTCTCGACGCGTCGCGATGTCCGCTCTGCTCCAGGGATCTCCCGTTCTATCTCTTTCTACTCAACGGTCCAAGGTAGTCGACCGTCCGCCTCGCACTCACTAGCGGTCGCCCTCCTTTCCTCGAGTTCGCCGATGCAAATCATCCAGACTCCTACGTACGCCGGCTCGACCAAGTTTAGCCGTGGACAACCCCCGTTTTCGTGCATGCGCGCCATGAATTCGAGCCTTCTAAAATCGTATGAGGTTGCCGGTCGCGA